CAATGATTAATGAAATCATGGTTGCTGTTCCGTTAAGTAGGATTCGCCTACCAATACTACCAAAGTGACTTCTCAAAACTTCTCTGAAACGGTGCCGGTGTGGACGGGCAGTTTGGCAGTAGTAGGTAGGAAGGTCGAGAGGCTGTAGGCACAAAAGATTATCTAACCATTAGTGACATGATAACAATGAGAAAAATTCGACCGTTGGTGAGGAAGTTGGAAAGATTTTGACTAAGTACATCCTTATTACTTTTTGTCTGTGACAGAATCAGAGGTTGAGAGCCTGGTGGAAGTGATTATCGAGCAGATTCTTCGAGTTACAAACAGCTATCGTCTTGATGACACCCCTAGGGATATCCTTTTACAACTACTGACTTGGATCATCCCCTCTGAGACGGGCATCGGATGGTCTAAACGCATTGTCATTGGTGAAGGTAAGTCTTTGATTGTCAAACATGCCTTCCTATTTCTGCTATTATGCTATGATATCATTTAGAGGTACCGGTAACTTTTCGAAAATTTCATCCACTCACTTATCAACCATAATTTGGGATATTTGTCAGGAATCAAAGGGCATATTATTTGAATAACTTCTAGGCAATTTATCCATTGTAATCTTATTTCTGAAAAAACTTATATGATTTCGATAAAACACATATTAGAAACACTGATCTCCTAGAAGGTGGAGGAAAAGTGTTGCGATAAGCGAATGGGGTGATTTGCATTGGCGTTAGCCCAAGTTAACTGTTGGAATCCACTGAGAAGTAAGGCTGAAAAGTGGATACGATAAAAAGCTGTAAACCCTCCTATGAGAATCTCACGTTCACTTGCCTTATCAGGTAACTTGGAGCGTATTCTAGAGGTGGCAGCGGCTACCTGCCCAAGAACTTCAATGGTGCCAGCAGACCAGTCTGAGGTGGTGAGCGAGGTAAAGTCGCGTCACAAACACTTGCTGGAGGAGGCCTCACCGACAGAAGGGCTGCCAGAGATCTCGAGAGGTGGAGTGCTCAAAACTTCCGCCAATACTCGTATGATTGTCGCTTGCCTTCTTTCACGTCTTTTCAATGACCTACGCTCCGATCAGGACCGCCAACACTTCAGCGACGCTTGCTCCAATTTTGTTATGTATGCCTGCCGCTTCTGCTGTATCACCTTGACCTTTGCCTACGAGTCAGATTACATCGTTTAGGGTCTCTGCTCCAGATTAGGTCTCCTTGCCAAAACCTTTCTCCAAGTCTTATTTTCAATACTTTGTATGATTATTTTACATCCTCGTTACTTTGCCAAATCTGCTTCTTCAATCTTTCATTTCGCTGTCGAAAGGAATACCATTGCAGTTCACTCATTATTGGCCTAGAGGTGGCCTGGGAGCCACGGATACAGGATGAGACGAAGGCGCTAAGTATGCAATCATAGATGAGGAGATTAGAGGAGATAAAAAATCCGGCAAAGCTGAATGTATTTTAGCTGTGCAACATTTTGTAGTTCCTTGTCGGATTTGGTACCAATGTCTTTAGTTCTGACATCTTTTCACTGATTACTGGTAGGGAGCTGTTGACGGACAAGTTTATCGAGAGCAAAGTGGAAGCTGCTGCTGTGATTGGAACCCTGTTCAGCGGACCTTACGAAGTTGGCTCACGTGTCCTCGCCACCGAAGGCATTCTGGAAGGCCTCCTCCTCCTCTGCCGGTCTGAGAACCTGACTTATCAGACTGTCGCGTTGGACACCATAATTTTGGCAACAAACAAGAAGGACAAGTGTATGGCTGTTATCAATCAAGCCGTCCCTATCCTCCGTGCTCTCTATAAGTCGCCCGATGACGGTATCAAAGTTCGCGCTCTTCTTGTACGTCACTCACTAACTTAGAATTTTTCTACTGAGATTTATAGGTAGGTGAAATTTTCAGGGTTTATGCAAACTTGGCGTACTTGGTGGTGGGGACGCTAGCATAAAAAGCATGGCTGATGGTTCAACAGTGATACTTATGAAGGCCTGCCGCCGGCTCCTTCTTGGAAATCCTGCAGGCGAGAAGTCTGGGAATGCGGTATGTAGTGACGCGACTTCTACGCGTTGGGCTATTGACGGGTTGGCGTACCTCAGCTTGAATGGAGATGTCAAAGAGGCCTTGACTAGGGATGAGGAGCTGCTAAGCGCTGTTTATAAAGTTGCTTCGGTAAGTGAAAAGCAGAGAGTGTGAAATTTCTAGATTCGCTTTATTTTGGTCTTAACTGTTTTATACAGCTGGGATATTACGACACTGCGTTCCCATTGGTTAGCCTTCTCGCCAATTTGACCAATAGTTTTGTGGAAAAAGAGATCACTCCAGAGATGCTGGAGATTGCCAAGTTCGCAAAACAGCACATTCCGGAGAAGCACAAGGCGGATGAACCGAAAGCTGTGACTCAGAGGCGTGAGAAAATGATTGATGCTGGCTTACCCACTTGTTTGCACAACTTGACGACAAAGCTGGTGACCAAGACATCCGCCGCTCAGCCACAAGTTCGTGAGGTGGTCTCAAGGTGCAGCGAAGATTTTGTCTACCGTTAAACTAGTCAGTAGCGAGATTTTTTGACGAGGTGGTTGCCATTCTGCAGGATCTACTTAGCGTGCTCTGAGTGTGTTGATCGTCGTGGTTTGTTGGTGTCTGCGGGGGCTGGAAAAGCTCTGCTTAATTTGTCGTTAGAAGACAATACGGACGAAGGAAAGCACGTGGCCTCCCAAGCCCTGGCAAAGCTGACAATTACTGCAGATCCTCGACTTACGTTTCCTGGAGAGCGGGTGGGTTTGCATCTACAAACGACATGGAAGCATGTTATTTATGAAAACACTCAACGAAACGTTTGGCTTTTATTTGAGACTGAAGTTGTGTGTGATGGACTGAATTTCACATCTTTTTCCCGTTTGCCTATAGCTGAAATGCCTGTTATGACGTGGGCTCATGTATTAGAAGTTTAGGTGTGTTTGCGCCAAAAACTAAACAGAAAGATTATCTCTAATTCTGGTTTACAAATACGTTATAACCCCCGCTCTTCATTTGTTTTTTGCGCTTTTATAACTTAGTAGTCAGTTGGTGATATAGTGGTTCAATCCCCTCGACTTATGGAGAGATGTTTTTTTTGAAACTTCAGAAGAAAATCAACCATTATA